CCTTCTGGTGCTGCCACCATCTCTCCTAGCATGGTTTAGAGCTAAATGATGACTGCATTTTGAGACATCATCCCCACTAGGAAGCTCTGGGGCCCTCTGACCTCTGTGTGGCTGGGTTAAGTGCCCTACGTTTGTTTCCGCAGCACTCTGAACTTGCCTCTACCTCTGTGGCTGTCACACAGAACTATAATTGTTTGTTGGCTTCTTGTCTTTCTCTCCCATTGGACTGTGCAACTTGCGTTAGGGACCATATTGTTGATTTTTTAATCCAAAACAGGATTTTTAATAGATGAGTGATCTCAGGTAAATTCCCTAATGCCTTCAGCCTCAGTTTCTATAAAATGGGTGTAATAATTGTACCTATTTTAGGATTGAATGAGTCAATACAGATTTATTTTAAAAAGCTTAAAACAGCACCTAGCACATAGAAAGTGTTCAATAAATAGTCGTTGCTGTTATAATTGTTCAACAGTGGACAACTTGTGCAAATCAAAAAGTTCTTAATAAATGTTGTTGAAATTCTTTACACCACCATGATTTTTAAATTTCCATCGTCACTATTCAAAGACAGTGAATTAAGTTGAGGTGGAACATACCTGCATCGTAGTTAACACTTTCAAAAAGGAAAGCTTTGAAAACTGAACCCAGAGTGCTCCCCTTGGAGCTCGTGGGGAGCTTTGATGCTTGGGCCACAGGCTGCTCACTGACAGTGCCCCTGAATATTGCCACCAAGCTCAACAAATCACACATTTTAATGCCCCTGTGTTACCAATGACAGGCAGTGAGTTTTGAGATCCCCACCCCGCCCATAAGCAGTCTCTGCTTAGGAGGCAGGGGAAGGAGGGGCTGAAGTGGGGCCTCTCCTCTTGGGATGATGACTTAGGACAAGGAGAACAAAAGAGAACTAACATCGACTCCCTTTACTGTTTGCCAGTCATAGTGTGAGGTGCTTGGCATTCATTGTCTGTTTCATCCTCGTGACAATTCTATAGGGAAGTAGCCTACTCATTTCATGGATGCAGCTGAGGTTCCCACATGTTACAGCAACATCTCCGTTAGCCAAAGAACTGGGATTTCGGTCAAAGGGTATTTAACCTCCAGTCTATGCCCTTTCCTCTCCAGTGTGCTGTCTTCCAACTTGGGTTCTGGTTCCAGCTCTGTTCCTAAAGATAGAATCTAAGCTTTTCAGATGAAGACTTACGTCCCTGTGGACTCTGTGGCTCCCACTGCCTCTCGCTTACTGCTTAGTACAGAAAGGCTGCTTGTGTTGGGTTCATGCTGGCATACAAACTTCTCTATGCCAGTTTCTCTATGGGTAACTGAGTGGCTGTGCGCTGGGACGGAGCGCACAAGTGAGGAGTCTCTTTTTAAAATGCCCATACATTGTTCAGTGGTTACGAGACTTGACAGGACCTAACTTTGAATTGACTGAAGCACTCCTGGCAGTGTTTCATCCGCTCCCTGACGTGGAATTTCACCCTAGACCCAGCATGGACAGCCCGAGGAGCCATGGGAAGGGCAGCTGCTGCTTTTCAGTGTCCCTAGAATGCCCTGCTCTGAGGGAAAAGAAGTTGTCTGTCCCTGAGGCGAGCAGGAGGAGGAGCGGTTTCTGAGCCGAGACTTTGGTCTGTGTGTAGCCTGCCTGTTCATCCGAGGGCTGATCACCCCGCCACAGCTCCTAACCCAGAGACTGGAGCACGTGCCACAGGGAAGGCAGGCTGGGACCAGGAGCACCCTGTCTGCCTAGTACCAGCACTCCCCGCCGGATCATTGTCCTCTCAGCCTCAAACCCAGCGTCCCACATTAAGTAAAGGCTTTAAAAGATGTGTTTCAATAGACTTTTTAGAAAGCCCATAAAAAGTCCTGGATATAAAGAAATGAGGCATAAAACCCAGAATGTTTGGAAGTCAAGCTGAAAATTGTGGTGGCAAGTCTCCATCTCCACTTGTTAAATGGGAGCATAACTTAACACTTACACCTAGACGGAGGCTGAGAACCACTTGCATTCTATGCTCTTACGTTTCAGAAACATATGAGGCTATTACTCAAAAAACAAAACCCTGCCCATCTCCCCCACAAAGCGCTCACTGTAGACGTGGAACAAGATCCAAAGTTGGCATTGGTCTGGAGGGAAGGGAGCGGAGCGTGGGACTGACCTGAGGAAACTCTTATTAGGTCTGCCTGAATGTGCAGCACGCAGGGCAGAACCTCTTTCTCCTTTTAACGTGCACGTTTTGACGGAAATGGAGCCCCAGAGTAAGATACTGCACACTCACGAAGGTCCATTCCGAGGGCCGTGCGTGCCCCTTCCCTTCGCTGTTGTTTTCATTTTCCTCTCATGAACCTTGCTACCCTGGCTTCAGCACGGAGGCTGTAAAGGAAGATGGAGAGCCGAGTTACCTCAGAATGATCACTATCGTTAACATTCACGGGTGGTTCACTTATCATTCCTGACTGCACAGACATGGCAGCCGCTCGGAAGCGTCCGCAGGTGTAGCATGGTGATACATATTACATTGTGCCACAATGGATTTATGTATTCTGTAACAAAAGAAAAGTGTAATGAAAAAATACAGAAGGTAATCCTTTATTCCTCCACCACACAATTTATCAGTAATGCCTGTGGATGATAAGTGCCAGGGATTTCCTCTGCTTGCTTTAACCTTGTCACCCAGGTACGTTTTGGTAAAATGACAGAAAAATACAGACTGGGGATTTTCCTCTGCTCAAAAATCTTTTAAAAGGACACTTTTAATTTATGGAAGTTAGTCCAAACACAAGGCTTCCTTTTGAGCTTTTAGTCTGCTTTTGCTGAAAAAGATAAACGTATTGGCTGGAAATAATGCTGTCAGCCGGCAGCAGAGTAGGAGGAAACGTAAGCAATTTCTAAGCAGACTGAAATCTACAGTAGTTCCGCTAGAACCAGGTGGATGGCAGTTCATGAGGTCCAGGCCAGTACTAGTTTGTGAGTACCCGAGAACTTGTGTTCTCTTTTAGGCCCTACTCATCCATCGCCCAACATATTGTCACAGATGGAGCACATACTGACTTCTGAGGAGAAAGCAGGGGAAGGCAAATCTGATCGTGGTTGACTGGCATTTGTTCCAAACACACACTGGCCTAGCGCCAGAGCAAATACCCCCAAGTTTATAAATGCACAAGGCACTTTACATTTCAGTACTCTTGCCAAAGTATCACTTACTGCATCGCTCCCTAAATATAGTTTTTTAAAAAGAGCTTTTTCTTATTTTGCTTTGATCAGTAAAATAAACTTTTAAAGATTGTTCTGGGATGGGGTCCAGCTTCTGAGGTAAAGAATGGCCGGGACTCAGGCATGATTCAGTAACAGAGTGTTCAGTAAAATTAGCTTGACAGTTCTCAGGCCTGCTGTTCGATAGCAAGAACTTGACCAAGTTAAAATGGATGATGGTGCTGGCCAGACCAGCTTCGGCTTTTGCTTTTTAACAAATGGAATGTCAAGGATTAAACAGCAAGCCGTATGGAGAGGAGGGTTGTGGAGATGTCTCTGTATTAGGGAAGCAAATTAGGTCCTTGGTTTTGAGATCGACCCCCAGCCCCTATGGAGAGTCAGCCACCTGGTTGGGTCCAGCCTAGGCTTAAGACCCTTCCCAGCCTGTCCTACCATTGGGGAGCTTTTCCAGAGCTTAGCTTGGGGCTTGGCTTTTCTTTCAGATTTCTTGTCAATATGAAGTTCTGCCATGTTTTTTGGCCATGTTCCCTTTAGAGATTCTTATGGAGAAATGGGAATGCGACCAAACTCCTTGTGGCAATTCCCATGTTCCATAGTTGGAAACTTGGGTCCCGTTTGTTACATGAGCTACTTGGAATTGGTCTGTTTTGTTCCAGTGCCCAAGCGTAGTGAGTAGTATTTGTGATACTTGCTATTGCAATTAACAGTCTTGGTGAAGTTATACCTCACACAGGAGATGGGCTTCTGTTTTTAGAGTACTTGTTCCTTAGCAGTTTTTTTCCAATCTAGATGAAGCCTTTCCCCCACCCAGTTTGATTAATTGGAAGCTTACAAGGAGTGTTAGTGTTTTGTCTTATAATTACTTGTGCTTCAGCTAATATTTTGACTTTCTAGGACTAAGTAGATTAAAGTATTCATACTGAAGTGTATAGACTGTATTAAAAAAAAAATACAGCCTGGTGCGGTGGCTCACGCCTGTAATCCCAGCACTCTGGGAGGCTGAGGCGGGCAGATCATGAGGTCAGGAGTTCAAGACCGGTCTGGCCAAGATGGTGAAACCCATCTCTACTAAAACTATAAAAATTAGCCAGGCACAGTAGCAGGCGCCTGTAATCTCAGTTCCTGGAGAGGCTGGGGCAGGAGATTCGCTTAAATCTGGGCAGCAGAGGTTTTCTGTGAGCCAAAATTGCATCACTGTACTCTAGCCTGGGTGACAGAGTGAGACTCCATCTCAAAAAAAAAAAAAAAAAAGAAAGCAAGTGTATGTGTATGAATAAACAAATATATTTACTAGCTAGTTAGAGCATTTTATTTTCCTCCTTCTCAGTTACTTTGGGGTATTACTGCCCTCTGGCCCCACATGACATTTTTTTTTTTTTTTGTCTGGGGCTCCATTAGCTTAGTATGATGGCAGTATCTGCCTATAGTGACATCTACTGATACAAGCCAAGTTTATCAGTTGTCAATCCTTGTTGCAAGATTTGGTTTGGAAGCCAACACTAGGAACCCTGCTGCTGACCCACACAGACCACTTAGGTTCAACTTGGACAAATTAGAAAAACCTTCCCTAAGCCTGAGCTCTCTTTCACTTGGAACTGCTCATGCTAGAATCTTTTATCACCACCCCTCCCATCCCCCACCATTAGAAGTATATCTATTCAACCTATTTTTAAATAATTGGTACCTCAGTATGCACTTACTTTAAAACTTGCTTAAACACAGTGAAGATCGCAGTAACATCTCTCTGGATGAATGTTGGTGATGATGTAATATTTGTCTTTTCCTACAGAAATGCTGCTCATGGATTCTCCCTTATTCAGGTGGACAACACAAAGGTTACCATGAAGGAAATCTTACTAAAGGCAGTGAAGCGAAGAAAAGGATCCCAGAAAGTTTCAGGTGGGATAGTTAAATCATATTCTCGCAGTAGTAGAAGCTTAACCCTTATTAAAAGGGCATAAGGCATGTGTGTGTGATGGCTGGCTAGATTGTTTCAGATGTCATTGCTAGAAGGTTTGGTTAGCAGATCTACACAAGAAAAGGTGATTGTACATTGCCCCTGGGCCTCAGAAAGGGACTGGCTCAGTGGCATATGTGAGAAGAATGTATTCATATCAATTGTGGAAGTTCCTTCATTAATAATTTGTGGTAGATTCAGACAGAGCTACTTGTGCTGATGATTAGTTGATGTAAAGCTGTCTTGAAAACCGAATCAGTCCTAAACTTGAATCACTACCTTTAATTTCATGTTTTCACATAATTTCCCATGGGAGAACTTTTAGTTACTAATGTTTCTGGTATGGGGAAGAAAAGAAAAATTTCTCTTCATCTTTATCAAATGAGGGCAACCCTTTAAAAAAAAAAAAAAAAGACAAAAAGGCAAGTCACTTGATGTGCACAAATAACCTAACTCCTCATTACCCAACTTTATATGGAAAATATGCTTATAGTATTAGCTGTGATATTTAAAGCATATATACCAGGATTGAGAAATAATTATCTTGAGAAATAGCTCAAAGATCTGTCATATCACAGACAACTTTAATATAAATCAACTCATGTTGAATATCTTAGCTCTGTAAATAAAGAGACTTCTTAAACACCTTTGATTTCACCTTTTGGAAAGGAAAAAACGCATTGCTGGCGCTGAAGAAAATAGTTTTGTGCTCTTTTTAAGGGGGGGCATATAATCTGTTCCAGATTTAATTAGCTATCTTCAGATGAAAGCTGAAGTTTTAATAAAAGTTAGAAGAGATAACACAGTGAAGGACACGGATGAGCTGTCTCAAGGCCATATTCCAGGGGAACGATAAGAGCTGTAAAAAATGGCAGAGGAGAGCAATTGAATGGAGCAATGAAAATCTGATTCTCATAAAAAAGAGAGAGAGAGAGAGATGCTGGTAGGGGCGGTTGTAGATGAGACCTGCTAGCGTCTGCAAGCAATTTGGATGCTTGCCAGGAGTCATTGTTCACCCTCGGCTGTGGCGGCTCCGTCCAGATGTGCCAACTGCACGTTTCGGCTTTTGCCAGCTGACTGCGCCGTTTGATAACCAGCTCTCTGGATGCCCATCACTGGCCGCAGAGATAGAATTAAATGATGATGATCTTCCCACAAGTTGGGAGAGGAAACAATGCATATAAATCTTGATTTCATCTCAGCATGAGAAGTCTTTATCCATCATCACTCATAATGAACAAGTCGTTAGCTGGGATGAATGGTGTTCTGGTTTTTCCAAACACCTCTTTTGTTCATTTTTTGGGTGACTTTTATCCATTGCATGGGGGTCAAACTTCTTTGCATTTAGGGGATGATTGAAGAGGCACAGCCACTCCTTCCCAGTGAAAAGTGGATATTTTGGGGTTCCAGGTGCCAATAGAATAGCTTATCAAAGATATTTAGTAGGCATACACTCTTTTGGATCCTGGTTCTTTACTCTTGTTTTGTTCCCAAATATTTTATATAAAAGTATATTTGTGATATAATGCATTATATTCTAAGAAGGCCTTATTCTGAATTGTCCAAGGAGAAGGTGAAACTTTTTTAAGCTTCTTAGTAAAAATTCCACTGTCATAGATTTTTCATACCATGAAACTCCTGTGAACTTATTTAGATACAGCTGAGCCAGTATCTTTCCTTCTGTCTCCCGTCGTCTCTGTCCAATTGCATACCCGTTTTTCTGTGTCCATTCCCAGCGCTTATCATACACGCATTTATTTATGTTCACCTTTGTGTACACATTACTGCCATTTCCATCAGAATCTTTGCCATATCCTTGGCAAAGAGTTAGGACTCGGTTATCTGAAAAACAGTGATCTGCATTATTTATTCCTTTTCATACAAGAGAAGCCAATTGAGATTGATACATTTACATAAATTACTGTCTATTTTCTTAATCCAAAAAGCTTTTTAACAAAAGAAGCTCCTTCTGTAGCTTTAATAAGTCTGGTCTCATAAAATAGAAGGATCTCCAGTTTGGTAAAGATATTTTTTTAAGCTTAGGTTGATAAAGGCAGGGTACATCTTGTGTTTTTGAACTTTTGTATGAGTAGAGTTTTTTGGAGAGTGATTAATGAGAAGAGGAAAATCCTCTTGTCATAGAAAGTAACACATAGAAAGTACTTTAAAAATTGTTGGTGCTCACAGCTGGCTATGAAATACCTATTAGTTACCTATTATGACACATGAACTTAGTCATGAACTTGGTGGAAAGAGATGCATTTCCTGAGCCTCTGTCACAATGACCAGCTTAGTCTTTTCAAAAATGTGCCTACCATGCCCCATATCTGGGCCAGAATTAGAGTCAGCAGCCCTGTCATCAAACAGCTTTTACCTGATTGAGTACAGAACAGCACTTGTCTCTTTGCTACCCTTATTGAACTTCAGTGGAGAAGGAGGGAAATACCACTTCAAATCAAAATACATATGCCATGTAGAGTCAGTAGTTATCACAGAGGTTAGTTGTGCTAAAACAAGATTTCAGAAATCCTTTGATAGGCTAACAGTGAACTTGTTAATTGCCCACAGACATTTCTCTTCCCTTACCTTTTTTCCAGACTGACTACACAACTGTTTGTTTGATCATAATAATAAATTTAGAACTTAAACTATTTCATTATTAAATCAAAATGTAGGCCTAATGGCAGTCCTAATATTTGCTCTGTTGTCCTTCAGTGTGGCACTCCTTCCCCAGTTTTCATTTGTGAAAATCAGAAGTTGGTATGTATTTGAGCAAAATAACTCTTCTTTGTTTAGGTAAATAGCTTTGTCAATTGAAGCCCTTAGGGTTTTAAAATCATTCTGCTTTTTAGGATAGACTGTCATTTACAGACACTTGTAACTGATCTAAAATTTTGATTTGCATTATTTATAATTATTTCGTCAACTCATAACTATGAACATTGCATGGTTTTTTTCCTATTAATATTCATGTGAAAAGAATATACTATAGTAGTCTTTTCACAGTATGTTTCAGTCAATTCTCTGCTAAGGTCTATTTTTTATGCCTATTTTTAAATGTCTCTTTTAAAGTTTCTCTTCAACCTTTCATTTTTTTTTTTTTTTCACTGACCCACTTGACATTTGGAATCTACCTGCATTGGCAGGAAGTCCCTACTATTTAAGAAAATTGTAATTGGAGAATCCAGTTTTAGAAGAATTAGATGAAACCTCTTTATTCATGTTAACAGTTGGGCGGGTGTGTTTTTGACACAGTAAAGAGTGGCTTGTCAGGTCCCTTGATTTAGGCAGTAAAATATACTAAACTGTTATTTAGTGAATAAAGGCCTTAATTCAAGTTCTCCCTCTGTCAAAGTTACCCTCACAATCAGTGACCTTCTGAGTTTCTTAGTACTGTGTTGTTGTTGTTGTTGTTTAAAAATGCTGTTAACCATCAGTCCTTCCCAGTCTTCTGAAGCATTATGTTGGACATGACAGACACACTGCTGAGAAAGTGATCAATTTCAGTTTTTAACATTGACACAGAAATATAGATACCTCTTAATCTACAAAAGAGAGTGTCAAAGTGGGGTTTACTAAGCAGAATAGTTTTCCGCATAACTTGTCACAATAGTCTCATTATAAAATAGAGGTGATTTTCTCTATTGTCTGTGGAAAGATTGAACAGGAGCATATTAACTTTTTCTTATTCCTGTCCATTCTTTTGATATGAAAGACAAATTTTTATTAGTCTGAAGATTCTTTTAAAAAGTTCTTATAGTATTGTTAATAAACCTAGTGACATTCATTCCTACTTTTATAAAATTTCACAAAGAACTTGAAAGAGAAGTGTTAGCTTTGTCAGGTGGACTCCCTCCTAACTCTATCTGTTTAGAGTCACAGAGCACCTTATTGCTTGCTGATTTACTTTGTTTTCACAAGACCCCTAGAATGTCACCAGTGAGATAGTCTACGGGGCTTTTCAAACGTTATTCCGCAAAGTACTGCTAGGAGCAGAGGGGGAGTAAACATGTACGACAGGGTATGGGGTTCTGGTCTGAGGGACAATTCATGATGGCATCATTGGACTCTTAAGTTGTATCTTACAAATTCATGTGAAATGTAAATATCGATCCATAATGTATCTGTAGCTGTGTCGTACATTCACTGACGTGCTCCCCTGTGTCAGACCTAAGGAGGATCTTATTCTAGAGCAAGAGTGTACATAAGGGGCTGAGAGGGAGAATGATAGAATGGAGGGGAGCTCTCTGCAGCCTATAGGGTGTTCAGGGAGCCCCTGTCTGAGAAATTGACATTTAAACAATGACTTTCACATTTAAGCTATGAACAGTTTAGGAGCAAGGCAGGGACAATGCCAATCAAAGAGTGGCTTGCCATATTTTAGTGTAAAAAGAACATTTAAGATTACTTTGCAGTTTACTTAACCCCCCATCCCGCCAAAAAAAAAAAAAAAAATTATAGTAAAATTGATCATTTAAGGGAGATAAAGCAGGTGCTCTGCACAGTAAGTGGCACCATCATCTACCCATTCACCTGAGCCACATACCCAGCTGTCAGTCTTGAATTTTTCCTGCACTGTCTCCCCACATCTTATCCATTAACAAGTCTTGTCAGTTTTACCTCTGGAATAGATTCTGAATCCATTTAGTTGTCTTCATCTCTGTTGGATGGGTCCAGGTCACCATGACTGTCCACCTAGACTGCTGAAATAGCACCCTGGATGGTTTTTGTGCTCGTGCTCTTGGCCTCTCTCCAGTCTGTTGTTTACACAGCAACCAGAGAGAGTTTTAAGATACGAGTCTGTATAGAATTAAATCCAAATTTTTAACCACTGTGAAATACACTGAGGCCCAAAGAGGATAAGAGACACACAGAGAGTATGAACAGAAAGAAATAAAAGAACTTGAAAGAAATGGAGAAAAAAATACAGAGTTGATGATTG